AATCCTGGATTAAAATCCAAGGGAGATATTTAGCTTTGAAATTACTGAATTTTCTTGCTTACTCAAATACTTTGTTTTAGAATTGTAAAGCCTAAATTAGCTCAAATAATTTTAGTATATATTTTATTATATTGCTATAAAAAAATAAATAGATAACAATAAAAAAACACACAATAAATATGTAAAATTATTATTCTCAACATTTCTAAATTTAATTATCACAAATATCGTTGTTGAACCATTTTGTGCTTCTTAGAATTTTTTGCTATTGTAATCAACAACACAATTTAACAGCTGTTTGGAATAATCTGGATGAGACATACTCCTTTTGAATCTTTGCCAATGAGGCTTGAAGTTTGAATGGAGTGCCTCTTTTGCTTGCTCACTGTAAATTCCAAGTTTTATAGTGTTTTAGAAATTGTGGAACATGGTAAAAGACAGAACTTTTGGTGTGACAGAGCATCCAAAACAAGAATTAACAACTTGGAGAAACAAATGTAGAACATGGCAGATGGATGATGCTTCAAATGCCTTATTTGCCACGGTTATCTACTTCAGAGTGTCAATTTTTTTTCTGCAACTTCATTGAATCATTGCCATTGAATCATTGCCACCATGGTACAGCTGTAATGGTATATGTATGAAAGTCAACCATTCTTTTGTTTTTGGCAAAACATAAACCAAGTGCTTAATAAGATGGTTAACAACACCAAGAAGCAAATGAAGTTCTATTGGAGGAATAGCTTCTAAGATTAGCTTTTTATCTGGGAATCAAAGTATTGGTGGATGAATAACATTCTCAAATTTATTTGATTTCTTTAGATCAGCACCAGATAAAATAAAACATTTGATGTTGCTCTCTGATTGTTCCAAATGTTCTGAGTTGGCCACAGTTGATCAAATTTGTCAACTCAATGTTGCAACAACAGCAAGGATGCTTGCTACTGTGAGACTAAATTCCACAGATAACATTTGCATGTCACAGAACAGAATCAATTTTTAAGTTAATTCATTAACTTGTATTATATCTAAAATCAGTTTGATATTGCCAAATGTTTCATGGGTGTTTTCAGAGATTGCTACAATTAGTTGCTTTTTGACACCTGTGTTTTTAAAATTTTCACTTAAAGCCAACTTAATTGACTTTTTTACTGGACTTTGTTGTTCTGTTTGGTGTTCAGAAATTAGAGTCAAACTAGCTTTGAAAAAGGACCCTCCACCTCATCAAATCTTTTTAAACTGTGATGTTTTCCTTCAGGGTTTTAAAATTGATACAATGACCAATGTCACGAGCCTCATTAAAATCTGACAATTTGACATTGGTAGTAATTAAGAAATCCTTTTAACTAGATCCTGCTGATGCAAATTTCTGTTGAAAATTTGGCTCAAGAAGGCAAACTGGACTAATTTGTTTTAAAAAAGATCCAAGCTTTCTGATTTTATTGTTTGAAAGCCCAGTATTCTGCTGACTATATTTTTTGTTGTCAAAGGGCCTTGAAAGAGTGAATGAGCTCCAATGTTCCTTAAGAAAGAAAACTAAATTAATTACTTCACATATAAATTGTATTGCTCACAATGTACAGAATAATAAAATAACTAACCTTTTCTTATTGGAAGAAGTTTGCAATGAGCTTGACCATGAAGAATTGTTGAATTGATTACTTTTTTAATAATATTCAAAATATTTTAGGTACTGCTATTTTCATGCTCACAGCTTATGTTTTTATTCTTTTAAGTTAAATATTTACAAAAAGAATCAAGTCACTACTTTAATTTTTCCTAAAAAACCTCTCGTAGATTCATTGTAAACACAAAGATCATTTTGTAGAAAGAGTTGTTTGCCCGGAGATGCTTTTTTTGATACAGACAGATAAAGCAACTTGTTCTGAGCCCACAGAATTTTCCAATGCTAATTGATATAAGTTAGCACAGCGAGTTGTATCACTGTAATTGTGAGAAATTCTATGAGCAATGATAGACAAGCATTTTGTGCATCAATTTTCAACAGATTTTCTTTCTTTCATCAATTATGCTGCAAGCCCCAATCTGTTACAGAAGTGAGATCAGATTTAAGATTGGCTGCCTGTTCTAAATGATGGAAAAGAGAAAACTTCTTGTCAAGACAGGAGTATAAAGTTGAATCACGAGCAAATAGAGCCACACTAGATGTAAGATTGTCAGGAATATCATTTATATAGATAAGAAACAAAACATATAAAATTTAATTGTAATGTAAAATACTATAATCTTCATTATCATTTTTTTAAAAATAAAATCTCAATAAATTCAAATAAATAGAATCTCACCAATGTGGAATAAACTACCTGGTTTTAGCAATAAAAGTGAAACCTATTTAAAAATTACATCAGTAAATATTTAAAGCTTTTTGATTAGCAATTTGTAATATACTTTATTTTCCAGGAAAACTTAACAATGTGTTGTCAAAGTGAAATGAATTAATATTAATTTTTTATCTAATACCTTGGTTATGTAATATATTTTATAACAACGTTTATTAAGTTATGTTTAATTAACTTATAATAATGTAATATTATTCATTAATATAAATTATCATTAATTTCACTTGTAGTTTTTAAAAACTTTTAAAACTAGTTTAATGCTTAAATTTTAGAACAGACTTAAAAAGTTGAATTGAGTTTAAAAACACAGCTATCTAAAATCCATTCCTATTACTCAAACTACCCATAAGGAAAACTAGAGGCTCAATAGTTTAGAAAAGTTTGCAGAAGGTTGTTTATTTAGTTCATATACATATGCTTAAAATTAGAAAAATAAATTGTTTCCTATGACTGAGTTGCGTGTGTTTTTATTACTAATTGTTTAACAGAAAAAATTAGATTACCAAAAAATTCAGAATAAGGTAGAAAATAGCTATTTTCAGTTCTAAGAAAGAAATATTTCTGATAACAAATTTATTGTTGTTTGTTCTAAATATGTTTGTTTTTGACCTCAAAATTTTAAAAAAGTAAATCTTTATTTAGGGAGCAACTCTTTTCTCTATCCCCTATATTTTCTTTTGTTAAGTCTACTCATACCAACTGCATCACCAAAATCAAGGGGACAACTTCAGCAACTACCAGTGCAAGAGTTATACAACCTGATCAACTTAATGTCTTCATAGTCATGGACTGTTTGCATTATATTGATGTAGTTAGGACTACTAATTACATCAATATAATGCAAATATAAATTTACATTATTATCTTAAAAAATTGTATCTGTATTTTGTTTTTATAGATTTATATATACTATGTATTTCTTTTAAAATATAAGACATCATTTTTAAAATATAAGACATCATTTTTTAAATATACTAATACACTACACCATCACACCTGTAGACATCAACAGCCTCTAAAATCAATATATCAAATATTTGTTCTTTGTTACATATGATCTACACACAGAGTGACTAGAGTGTTAGTTGTTTCTCTCGCTGCCACCCCCCACCCCCATCCCCGAGCATTTAACTTTGTTCTTCACCTTCAAAAAAGTCTTATCACTCATTTTATATTTTCTTATGATTCCTATTTTTTATTCAATGACACCATCTTCTAACTGTTTTTATTATAACATCACTAAGGTCTATGAAACTGGACGGCTGCGTTGGTCACTTTTTGAGATCATTGTGTCGCATAAACAAAAAATATTAGACATATCATTGTGGATGCTTATACTAAATATTTCCTTTAATTTAAATTATGATGTCATTGTGAATGTTACAAGTTTATCTAAAAACCATTTAATAATAATATGATGATGAGGACAAATCTCTATAGAAAGTTCATCTATAAAAATCTCATTTGTTGTTGTTATGTTGGATTCTTCAAACACTATTGTTCATTGTTTTGAGTATTTTGCTGTTTTGAGAGCACTTTATAAACAATTTAGAAACTATTATTGACTTCCCAGTGTTTCTGCTCTGCAAAAATTAACTTTTAAAGTATTTAAATTAAACAATACTAAATTTATTTTACATGTATTTAGCAAACTTACTGATCAGTCAAGACTCAACCAGACATATTACCAAAAACAATATTAGTTTTTATATTCATGTCCTTTTAGTGGACTCAATTTTAAAGTTTGCATAATTTAAGTATAAAGCAATTTAGATTTAGATTTACAGTATGAAATTTATATATAACTAATTGTATACTTAAATCAGTTTTAAATGCAAATGGAAGCTGTGATTTGTTATGACAAAAATAAATGTTGTGATTTGTTTTGACATTAATAAATGTTAGGTTTCTCTCTCTCTCTCTCTCTCTCTCTCTCTCTCTCTCTCTCTCTCTCTCTCTCTCTTTGAAACTGTTGAAGAAAAACCATTATTGGCTAAAAATAACATTTTTTTACTTTATGAGTATGTTCATATATGGAAAAACATAAGTAAAAGTTAATATATTATAGTTCTGCTTTTATTATTTTTATTAAGTAAAAAATTTTTTCAACTAGTTTGATAAAACAAAGATAAAGGAAAAAAAAAAAATTTACCAAATTGACCTCCAGTTTTCAAGTTGTGTCACTCAAATAATAAGCCTAGGTTTTAGGTAGCGGTGGTTTGATAAAAAGGAGACATATTTTAACGCTGGTCAATCAAAGCAAGGATATCTGCATTTATATGTAATTTAAGTTTTTATTTGTACTTGATTATCAGCTAAAACATAGAGAATTAAACAATTAAAAAACACTTGAATCAAATTTGAAAATATTTTTGTGAATTACATAAATACAAGAAAACTGAGAAATACACATGTGTTTTTTCAGTACATATGTGATTGTAGTTCTGTAAATAGTTTCTCCTATAAATGTAGATGTTCACTGTAAATTTACCTAATTATTTTGAGTTTATCATTATTTATGTTGAGTTTATTATTTTGAGTTTATCATATATATGTTGAGTTTATTATTTCTTTTTTAATCATAATCAGAATGGAATTTAGTTAATAATTGTTAATTTTATTATTAACAAAAAATTGAAGCGCAATGCAACACCACAATCAGATCTATTATGGCAAATGATAATGTCAAGATAATAATAGTGGTTACAACTTCTTTTGTCATGTTGATATTATTGATTGCTATTATTTTGCTTTTAAAGAAAATGAAAAAAAGAAAATTTAGAAAGAAAGGTATTTAATATTTTATTATTACTTGTTGAATCTTAAAATATTTTGTATACAATAAAAACTTAAATTACAATAATAGCTTATTAATATTTTTTATATAAAAAAAGCTTCTATTATTATTATTATTATTATTATTATAATTATTATTATTATTATAATTATAATTATTTTAATTTTTTTGGTTTTTGCCTCTGAAATGTACAATACATAGAATAGCCTCTGAAATGCACAATACATAGACCAACAACAATCTGTTTTATGGGTCTGGGTAGCTTATTTTTTTTACACATATAAATATTTTTTTACACAATAATATAAAAAACTTTGCCTAAAAAATTTTATTAGGTACAGTTTGCATGAAATGATACTGTCTCTTTCACATTTGAAATTGTTTAAAGTTTGTTGACACTTTAGTCTATAGAAAAAATACTCAACTGATGCCTTATAAAAATAATGGAAACCATGTGAGTATAACAAATTAATGCAAAGAAAATTAATATGCAAATTTTATTTTATTTTCTTAGTTAATGATAGATAAATACTAAAAAGTTAATTTGTTATTATATTTCATTTATAATTATATTAATAAGTAATTTACTCATTAATATAATTATAAATGAAATATAATAACAAATAAATATGCATCTAAAAAATGTTTTATTTCTCTGATATTTTTATGAATTATTGTTAAAACTTATTTGGAGCTTTGTCATTGAAAACTGTTTTTTTTTTTTTGTTTCTCTTTTTTAAAATTAATTCATTCCAAAATAATGCAAACAGCCACTATTAAAATGGGAGTCACTAGAAAACAGAGAATAGTGTTAATAAAATGGAAGTCACTAAAAAACAGAGAATAGTGTTATTAAAATGGAAGACACTAGAAAACAGAGAATATGGTTATTAAAATGGAAGTCACTAGAAGACAGAGAATATAGTTATTAAAATGGAAGTCACTAGTAATCAAAGGGCTCGGGAGTCACTAGTAAACAAAGTGTTTGCAAGTTACTAAAAAACAAAGCAGACAATTTGGAGTTACTCGAAAACAAAGAAAACAGCAAGGAAAGAGTTGACAGAAGACTTAGAGCATGAATGGACAGATGCAGTAAAATGATGTAACTTTTCTTAATAATGAGTCAAGCAATAATGAATTTTAGCTGTTGGAACTAGAGATAATAGATAATTTGTAGAAAAGAGAAAAAGATGCAATTCTTTGTTAAACAAAAAAGAAATCCAAAATAAAAAAACTACAGAAAATTGTAATTGTAAACAAACAAAACAATTGTCTAATGAGTGGAAGCTGCTTATCAAAAAATGTGGTACATAAATGTGTTGTTTCCTCTAAGAGTATACCTGATAAACAATATATTGGCATAACAGAGGATGAATGGAAAAAACGTTTTGCCAATCATAAGCAATCTTTTAAAAATAAAAAGTATTCAAAAGACAACATGCTGTCAAAATATTTATGGGAATTGAAAGATAAAAATATTGATGATTTTATACTGAATTGGTCCATCCTTAAAACAGCGCCTGCATATAACAATATTTCCAAAAAATACATACTATGTCTACAAGAAAAATTTGAAATAATTACACATGCAAACCAAGAATGTTTATTAAACAAAAAATCAGAATTGATTTCTAAATGCATGTACGAAAATAAGTTTCTCCTGAAAAACTATAAAAATAAGTGAGCTCAAATAATAGTTACATTAAATCCCCCTTTACAAATATTTTTTTCAAAAACCTTAAGTAATCATTTCTAAAAAATTCTTTTTAAAACAGTGTCAGCAAATTACACAAATGTGTGAAAAATTACAGTAGTTAAGACATGCAACTTCCTGTAATTTAATTTTTGGTATAAATTGAAGTTTTACTAATTTGATCATTCATTTCTAATGAGTCTTTATTGGTGAAACACTGTTAAATGAAAAAAAATTTTGCAAAGTGATTTTCTACCAATTTTTAATTGATCTGTTCTTTTAAGAACATTGAGCACTCTTTTTGTGGAATACATTTTAAATTGTTTAAAACACACATATATATACACACATATATATGTGTATACACACACACACACACACACACATATCAATAGAGCAACAAGTTGATAAAATATTTTTTTTTACTATTATTAACTAAATGAATATTCATAGATAATTTTTGAATATCATAGGATAATCTCATAGCGTTTAAAAATTTTGGTCATATAAAGTTTGAATCCGCCTCGATTTTATGGGGCTTCAAATTTTATATGGTCATAAATTTTGAACAATAAAAAGTTGTTTAATAAAATTTAAAATTTAACAATGAATATTAATTTAGTTAATATTAATAATAAAAAATATTTTATTTCAAAGTATCTATAAAGTATGTACGCAGTTAAATCACTGTTTTAGAAACCCCATGCCCATCCCTACCCCTTAATCGCATCTATAAGTTTTCAACAAACCTCCCACTGCATATGTGCGCACTGTTTATTTCAAAATCTCCCCACCTATTCCAGCCTAAAATATTTCAAAATATAAACAAAAAAACTCTTAGTTAAATCCACTTTTATCTGTTACATATCATAATATTGATTTTTAGACTTGTGAAATGCTTTTGTTAAAACAAAAGAAGTCGTGTTTTAGGAGAGATAAACCCCCTCCTCCCTCATATCTACGTACACTACCGGCTATTAATTTGAGACCAGTGATGAGAAAACAGTAGTTCTATTAAAAATCAATTAAATCTATCAGTTATATTTTCGCTTATATTTTTTTCGATCTCAGTGAATAAAGAAACTACAAATTAGTTCATGAAGTATACTTTATTTAGTTTTCTTCGCAAATATTTCTAAACAAATAGAAAACTTAACAAACATTAAAAATTTAAATTATAAGGTCTTTATTATTTTGCACAAGTTTCAAACTTTGCATTCATCAAAATTACCACCATGTTTCTTCATTACTGCTTCACATATTCTTGGCATACGAAAGATTAATTTGTTTAAAAATTCCATAGTTACAGCTTTCCAAGCCTTTTGCAGTAACTCCCATAAATGTTCCTCAGATTTTACTTGGAATTTCTTCACATACTGGTCTATTTCATTCCAAAGAAGCTCAATGGGATTAAGGTCTGGTGACTGCGCAGGCTAGTCGATTAAAGTAAGGGTTTTTTCTTGTACTAGTTGATTCTGGTAATTTGTACAAAGTTTAGATTTGTGTTTTGGGTTATTATCTTGCATAAAAACAGGCTGGGGTCAAACCACCATTCAATGAGCAGATGGAACAGCATGATTTTCCAAAATTTCTCTGTATTGCTCCTTTTTCATATTTTCACGAACTCTGATCAAATCTCCTATTTTGTGACCTGCAAAACAACCCCATACCATTATTGAACCTCCTCCATGCTTAATAGTAGGCACAATGCACTGCGGAATGTAACGTTCATTCTAGTGCCGGTGTACAAATATTCTTCTTTTGTTGCCAAATAATTCAAACTTGGACTCATCGCTCCATACTACTGTTTTCCATTGACTTATTATCCACTTGGCATGTTTGAAAACCCATTGTAGTCGCTTCACCTTGTTTGCTTTCCTTAGCAACGGTTTTTTGGCAGCTACACGCCCTCTAAGTCCAGCTTTCATCGGTTTCTTCTTGTTTGGACACAAACAAGTTTTTCAGCAGTTTTATTGTATTCTCTCATTATTTGTGGAGCTGTTAATTTTTCTGAAACATCTTCTTCATCAAGTAAAACTTTCTGTTCAAGGCTTAATTCTCGAACTGGAGCCATTTTAGTACGACAAAATAAAAACTAAAAAAAAAAAAAACAGTTCAAATAATATAATATTTGTATATTCATTTGCAAGTCATTATATACTATATTGGATCTACATAAAGTATTTACAAGAAGCTACCAATGAGAAAAATTATATTTTTAATATCAATTACAAGTCATTAATCAAAATTAAGTAACGGTTAAAAATAATACTTGTATTGTCTTTTATGATGGTAGAACTCAGCGCATACACTTTTGTACACTTTTGTACATAAAAGGATATGGACATTTTTGTACAAAAATGCCCATATCCTAAAATTTTATTGTGCTCTATTTATTTTTGATTCAAAAATAAAGAAGTGCAAATATGATAATCAGATATATTTATTTTTGAAATGTAAATACCGTTTTTAACCGCCGGTCTCAAATTAATTGCCGGTAGTGTATGTACTTTATAGATAACCATTAATCCAAATCTTCTGAGTTTATCATCCTAGCAGTTATGATGCATGTCCTGGAAAAGTGTCTTTACCATCCAATTTACAAACACTATCTGCCACCCATTAACTTAATAATCCATTCAACATTGCTATAATTGCTAACCATAACAGAGTTTCTGATTGATTTATGCAAAATCCTAGTTTGTCTACTATATTGTGCAATTCAGAATCTTCACTTTTCTGTTTTTTTGTGCAATTCATGGGAACCATCTGACTTTCAAACCACCCACAAAGCCTTTCGCAACTGTTAATTCAACAGTTGAGTTTTCTTTGTGACTAGACTTTCCTGTTTCACTCAAGTTAAAGGTGAGTTTTTTTTTAACTTTCAAGAAATAAAAAAGAATTATTAAGAAAAGTGTTCTTAAAAAACATAAAAGTAAAAATAAAAGTATAAACATAAAAGTACGCATTAAAGTTCAGTCAGAATCAGTCATTGTGCTTCTTTATGACAAAATAATTACAAATGACAACACAAAATATTAATGCGTTATTACAAAAAGAAAGGAATCAGTTCAAGTATATTTGAATTGAAACTTATTTCCTGTTGGTTGAAAATATCTTGTAACATTCAAAGAAGCTTTTTTTTAACTTTAAAAAAATTTTAATTTTAGGATTTTTTAAGTTATTAACATATTTAATTTTTGTAATTTGTACACATTAAACTGGATTTGCTTAAAATCTTATAGAATTTTCAGCAATTCATTACATCTTATTGGCAGCAAGCGATTTTTTTTTTTGATT